GGACTTCTCAAGGCATTTCTTAGCTAGAGTTCTGTAAGAAAATTACAGTGTTCAGAAAATGATTTCAGGAACTATTTTCTCAACTTTCTTACATTGCTAGTGTGTTCTAGAGGTGTAGGAAAAAAGTCAGTCATTACCTACAACAGATGCCTCAGGACATCAAGGATACATTTTCCTGTAGAACCCCATTCAGGAAGGGTTGAGAGTTTATACCTAGGAATGAGATTGCTGGTCTGGAGGTAAATACGTCTTTTTTTTTTTTTTAAATATTAACGCACACTTTTAAAAATTATATTAAAATTGGGCAATGGTATGACAATCAAAAGGCTGCTTATGGAATACTGTTATGTTAAACTTTACTTACAGGATGTTAAATCCTTAGAACTAACGTTTTCCAGAAAAAGATTAATGGAAACATCAATTGCTTTCCAGACTCTTGACAGTTGCTGCTCAAAAGGTGGTTTTATACAAATTAAAAAAAAAGGCTCGGTGCCTGTGGCTCAAGTGGCTAAGGCACCAGCCACATACACCTAAGGTGGCAGGTTTGAATCCAGCTGGGCCCGCCAAACAACGATGTTTCCAACCAAAAATAGCCAGGCGTTGTGGTGGGTGCCTGTGGTCCCAGCTATTTGGGAGGTTGAGGCAGGAGACTCGCTTGAGCCCAGAAGTTGGAGGTTGCTGTGAGCTGTGATGTCACAGCACTCTACCCAGAGGGATAGCTTGAGGCTCTGTCTCAAAAAAAACCTTTAGTACAAAATAAATTGCTTTTATTTTGGTACGCATCCACATTTCAGCATGTAGTGGTCCTGAACAGAATGTGAAAAAATGCAGCCACTTGCCAGGAAGTCAAGCCTGCCAATTTTGGGGATCAGCTGTGCTCACCTAGTTCTTTCTGGATCCCTGCTGAGGATTGGATCGTGCGAAGCAGCAGCACCAAAACCAAAGTATGCACTGAATTCAAGGCTTTTTGTTCCAGTTATCAAATTCCAAACTAGGCCCCAACTGATTGCAAGGATGACAAAATGAGAGCCCTGTTTAAAACTCCTTTGATTTTTAAAAGCAAAAGCAATTACAGGGAAACAAAACAATTTAGAGAGAGTGTGTGCTTACAAGTGTCTTCATGTGGGCTTTCTCCAAGTTACCAAGGACTCTGAGAGCTGGCAGTTCTGAGTAACCCTGGTGACTGTTCACCTTATCAAAACCTGAGCTAAAAAAATGCATCAGCTGATGATGACAGCAGAGGTGGCAGGGCTGAGGACCCAATTCATTTCCTAGGCTGGTGGAGTGAAGAAATGCAATTCTAAAAGTAAACAAGGGAGGTCAGAGACTCTTTCCTGATGGCTTTTGACCAAAGCAAGGAAGTGTCATGGAAAGTGTTGGGTGTGACAGTGCAAAGAGGGACTTGAGGAGGAGGGAGGAGAAAGCAGCACCCCTCGATAAAGGTGGGGAGAGAAGATACGGGAAAGCCCTGAATTCCTCACCGAAGACCAATCTCAGAGGGAAGCAGAGGGGTTACAATCTATGCTTTGGCCAAGGGTGGGAGTGGAGGAGAGTGGGAAGGGGATGATGGCTTGGAAGGGGACATCATTTAAGACTTAAAGAAATCAGGGGTGCAGACAAAACACCCCACACACCCAGCAGTAGTCCCACAGGCTGTGACCTGAAACCTTCATGTCTACTCTAACAAGCCCCCAAGCTAGAGGGCTGTTGCAGGGAGGGGAGGAGACAGGGGCAAGGGAAACGAGAGAAGGCAGAGACCCCAGGCCATGTAATCAGCAGCAAGGTGTTTGTGTGATGTGTCTTTTCACAGTTGAGTTAGATGTGCCCCACCAGTTATGATGGGAACCTATTTAAATATACTTTCTTGATCCCAGAAGTTCAGCTACGTGGACAGTGGTTACACTTGATGGGATGATGTTATAGCACAACTTATATGTTTCAAATGGACAAAAATTAGTATCATTTACAGTATCTTAAGATAAATTGCCTTTGAATGGGAGCTTCCTTTCCAGTCTTCCTTTTGAGGTCTACAAGACATATCTAGAAAATTTACTACTGTGGAAAATGAAGACTGCTTAAATCGAATGGGGGGGAGGGGAAGGGCCTGTGGTTTTCCTTTTGATTAATTGCTCTAACACTGTCCTTCAGGTGGCTGAGAGAGTTTCATATTTTCTTTAGACATCATTAAGCGCTGAAGCTCTTGCGGGACAACTTTGATACTATATGAATTCTGCCATTTTGCTAGCACTGATATGGCTCCTGGGTCCGTCACTCCATTAGAACTATTAACTCCATTCATATTAATTTTTGTTACAAATCTTACAAAGGGGGGGACTTCTGGGTATTTAGGTCCACATTCTATTTTAAGGCTGTATATTCGGTTTTTATGAATTGTCCAAGCCCGTGGTGGCTGCCATCTTGTGTCACTGTCGCTCGAAGGCCGGCTGTAAATACATCTTTTAACTTTGCTAGTCTTGACTATTTTAAAAAGTGATTCTGTCAATTTATTCACCTATTAGCAGCATATACATTTTCTGGAGCTCTACTTGTTCACCAACATTTGGTTTAATCAAACTTAAAAACATTTTTTTCGGGGGGAGCACCTATAGCTCAGTGGGTAGGGTGCTGGCCCCATATACCAAGGGTGGCGGGTTCAAACCCAGCCCCAGTCAAACTGCAACAATTAAAAAAAAAACAAACAGCCAGGCATTGTGGCAGGCGCCTGTAGTTCCAGCTACTCCTGAGGCTGAGGCAAGAGAATCGCCTAAGCCCAGGAGTTGGAGGTTGCTGTGAGCTGGAGGTTGCTGTGAGCTGGGTGATGCCACGGCACTCCACGGAGGGCGATAAAGTGAGACTCTTTCTCTACTAGAAAAAAATTTTTTTTTTGGTAGATCTAACAAGTGTTAAATAGCATCTAATTGCTATTAGGTCTTAGTATATTTCCTCAATACCTACAAGGCTGAACATCTTTTCATGTTTATTTGCCACTTGGACATTATCTTCTTGGTATTGTTTGTTCATGCAGTTGCCATTTTCTGTTGGGTTCTTTATTTTTCTGTATATATATTTTTTCTTTTGAGGCAGGAGCCTCAAGCGGTCCCCCAGGGTAGAGTGCCATGGCATCACAGCTCACAGCAACCTCCAACTCCTGGGCTCAAGCAAGTCTCCTGCCTCAGCCTCCCGAGTAGCCGGGACCACAGGCGCCCATCACAATGCCCGGCTATTTTTTGGTTGCAGCCATCATTGTTGTTTGGCGGGCCCGGGCTGAATTTGAACCTGCCACCTTGGGTGTACGTGGCTGGCACCTTAGCCACTTGAGCCACAGGCACTGAGCCTGTATAATTTCTTGATTTGTATAATTTGTATGAAAATTACTTGGCCTTGTTTAGATGTTGCAGAAGTTTGGTCTTGATAGCATTTTGTTCTTTTCTGAGCCTTTCTTTTGCTTTCAATCAGGTAGAGCAGATTTACTGCATAGCGTATTTCCACGTCTGATACTTTTATACAAAGTTCTTGAGGATCTGACACTTATAATCTTTCGGGCATGTGTTTTTCAATTTGGGGGAAGTGCTGTTGCATTTAGGGTACTCCAGGACCTTGGGTAACAAGAGTTGAAATTATGCCCTTCCAGAAAGGTTTTGTGTCATACATGTCTTGGCTCAGGTGTCTCCAGACCATCGAAATAGCAAAATATTTCAGCTGTAAACTAGTGGTGGCAAGTTTTCAGGGGAGACTTTTTCTCTACTGTATTTCAGGCCAAGAGAGTAAATGGTACTATCTTCAAAGGCTGGAGGGCAAACATCTTTCTAGTCTATTTTCTTAAACTGCAAGTTGAACTACAAGGATCTCAGCTTCACATAGTTCACAGCCCTGAAGTCCCACCAGCCACGTGGTTTTGAGTTTCCTTGGTGCCGGGTTCCTTTTCTCTCGGCCATGGTTATGTATATTTGCTTTATCATAAGCATTTCTACATGTCTGTAGGGGAAGGTTTCAGGTTGTGCTGCCTAATGCACAGCTAGCTAGAAACAAGCTCTTACCCTGCAGTCCCCTGCTGTCCTGTGCCAGGAGGCTCCCAGGCTGGGCATGACTAGAGCTCACTCTGAAGCATGGCCCCCAGGGATGACAGTGAAGATGGCAAATGGGGCTAGGGCCTTCTGGAGGGGACCATGAGGGGTTGCTGCAGATTTGGGGTGGGTAGTGGGAGACAGGCATGAGGGCATCTCCAGGGCTTTGCCAGAGTCCTGGGCTGGGGTGGTGTCATATGCTATGATGAGCAAGACTCCACGTGGGTGGAAGGCCCAGTTCCTGTTTCAGCTGTATTAAGTCAGATGCCTGGTAGACATCCAAAGGGGAGCTTGGTGACATGTGAGGAGGGAAAGAACAAAGCTCTCAAAGCAAGAAGGGGCTGGCTTGGCAGGGACACCAGCACTGGAGGGGCAGGGAACATACATGCAGGTGGCACTTCCTGCCCATGTGCTGTTTCCCCACCCCAGGGACCAGGCAGCAGTTCTTAATCTTCAGGGGTGTAAGGCTCATGTGGCAGTTTGTTAAACAGTTTCCTGGGCCCTCAACCCAAAGTCTCTGCTTTGGCAGGTGAGGATGAGTCCATGAACTTGTGTTCTTAGCAAGCTCACAGGGCCTGCCACTGATGTGGGTTTAAGGGCTACTGGGTTGGAGAGTGCTGGAGAGAAGTTGTTAGTGATCAAGAATTGAGCAGGTTCCAATCATCATCTCAGATGAGATGATAGAGGTCTGACCATGTGCCCTCCTCTGAGAGGCCCTGGGAGGAGCAGCCCTGTTGGTCCAGTGGAGCGGGTACATCGTCCCTGTGACTGCCTGTTCCTGTTTTTCAGCTGGGGAAGCAGAGGCACTGGGAACTGATGACACCTTCCAGTGCCACATGGAAGGTCAGTGATGGAGCCAGGTGAGCAAAGCCCCACATGGGCTGGCGGTCACCCAGGAGGAGTCAGTTCCTTGCCACATCAGAGGGAAGGCAGGAGGCATATTTAATGAATGAAATTTAATGTAACTATGTCATAAACACACAAAGGGTGGGGAGGGTGGATGACACATGTCCCCCACCCTCTGGACCCTTGGCTGGAGGAAGGCTGAGGCTGGTACTCCTCACTGGATCCCATCTCCCCTGATGGGGAAATACTGATCTGGCTGAGTGACAGCATCTCATGGCCCAGGCTGGCCCTGGGAAGGCGCTGAGTCAGGTCAGGGCCCTCCAAGAAGCAGCCAATAAGAGCGCTTGGCGCTGACTCCAACATGTAAACAGGCTCTGCTGTGGGCCCTGCTGCAAAGGGAACAAGGAGGGTGAGGGTTTGCCCTCACCAAGTGCTGCCTGAGTGCCTTAGGATGTGGGGGGACACAGGGACACTGAGGGTAACACAAACAACAAATGAACAAAGACAAGTTCTGAGATCTCCCATAAGCCTATAAAGTTCAACAAAATGGCAATAAAATGAAGCCCCTGCTGGCCTGGTGAGGCTGGTGCTTCCCCTCAGTGGCAAGATGCCGCCTGCGGCTGGCGGTCCGGCAAGTGCTAACCAAGCTGTTTGGTACCTGGAACTCAACAGCACAAAAGGCTGTATTTTATGTGTAGAGGGGAAAAGATTTCATTTCCTTCCCCTCAAACTGATTTCAGGGCAGAGACGAGACTTCTCTAAGGTGAGCCTCTTCCAGGAAAAGGGACTTCTGAGAAGACTGTCAACAGCAGGGCAGGTAGCCTGGAGAAGGAAAGGGTCCCTGGGTGGAGGCCGGGAGGATGGCCAGCGTCCAGGGAGTATGCCATCTCCGTCCAGTGGGCTTGGCAGGTATGTCCCCTGGTGCATTGACCAGGAGCTTGTTGGCTGCAGTGGGCCGTCACTGGGTCCGGAGCTGGTAATCTAGGAGACAGGAGGGAGACATCTGTTCTCAGCTCTGCACCCAGGGAAAGAAGGTGCCCCTGCAAGGCTTTTGGGATCTGACCCTGGAGTTACAACTCCAGCCCCTCAGTGTGTTCCCTTCCCCACAGGTGGGGCTATACTCACCTCCGTTCTGAGTGATGTAACGGACCCAGGGAAGGGCCTGGTAGCCGCTCTTCTCAATGATCTTCAGGTAACGCACCTGAGGCACAGTATAGGACCCTGAGTACACACAGGCTCCCTCCCTTCTGGGACCCCCCTTTAAGCCTTCCTCCCCAGGTCTAGTCCAGTGCTGGTGTGGAGGCCATGGCAAGGAAAATGCAAGGAGGTAAGATGTGGTCTTACAGACATGGCCCTTCAGCAGCCTCCAGGAGGAGGGACCTGGACCCAGGAAGGCCTCCCCTTCTCTGTGAGTCCCTCCTCTCCTGGACCTTCAAGGAGGTACCAGAAAAACAGGCCCCATGTGAACCAGGTGTGGGCAGCACAGCCTCAAACACTAAGTTTTGGGGAAGAATGAGTCTCTGAGCTGTAGGCTCAGCACAGGGCAGGTCTGAGTAGAGCAGCTCAGCCTCTCCCTGTCTGGGGCTGGACTGCCCAGAGAAGTAGAACCTGGCAGCACCATGGGGCCCTGGGATAAGCATACCAGCACCCTTTTCTAAGCTGGTGGTGTTAATGTCTGTTACTTGCCCACCCTGGGCCTGTCTCTGCTCCAGGGCCCTGGACACACATACCTGGATGCCGGAGGTAGTGAAGTAGGGGATCTCAAACTTGACACTGATTGGAGGCTTTCCCTCCTTGTCCTCAGCCTCCACGCTGGGCAGGCCAAAGTGGGCCCGCATCAGATACTCCTTGCCACCCTAGGTGGGCAGATGAGGGTGGAGCAGTCAGGCCCAGGCTCTGGCCCAGCTCACCAAATAGCTGCCCCTGGAAGATGCCTAGGTGCCAGCCCTGGTCACTAAGCCCCTTCCTGTAAGGCCTGTGGCCACCCAGTAGGCCAGTTCCCCCTAATACACCATCCCCTGAGCCTGATCAACCAGACAAGGGATCTTCAAACTTTTTAAACAGAGGCCCAGTTCACTGTCCCTCAGACCGTTGGAGGGCCAGACTGCAGGCCCCGAGATGAGTCAGCTGCTAAGCAGGACAGGCAGCAGTGGCAAAAACACCCAGCAGGCCGGATAAATGTCCTAGGTGGGCTGCATGTGGCCCGCAGGCTGTAGTTTGAGGGCGCCTGGACCAGAAAGACTGGCCTTCAGTAAGAAGAGGAGGGAGGGAGGGTATGTATTGACAGTGGCAGGTGAGGGCTTCCAGGGGACAAGGGGCAAGAGGTATGCCTAGGCCAGAGGTCCTGGTAAACAGCCCCACATGCCCAGTCTCAGGAGAACATGTGAAAGAAAGGAGAAATGTCAAAATGAGGAACATGAACAAAACTAAGAAACAAAGACACTGTTAAATGGTAGGCTGGCCCTGGGTCCTGCTCTTAAAAGTGAGCAGGGGGCGGCTCTGTCCTCAGAAGCTCAGCAGTGACTAGAGATGAGCTTCAGAGCGGGGCCAAGGAGGACTGGAACCCATGTCCTAGCTGTGACCTTTGCCCTCTCCCTGCTTTGAGGAGAAAGAGGTTTCAGCCTGGCTGTCCCCAGTGCTTGGTCTTTCCCTGAGCAGGGGGAGGCATCATCTCAGCTCTGATTACACCTGGGACACCACAGTCTTTGATCCCCAGGGGTCTGGCCAAGGCTCGGTAGGAGCTGCTGAGGATCAGGGCTGCATCTGCCCCAGAGAAGGGCAGAGACACTGGTGCCCAGAGCTGGGCTCACACTCCTTTTCCTGGGCTGCATTGAGAGGCTAGTCTCTGCCTATTACCACAGAGGCAGAGCAAGAGTGAGGACTCTGCTTGACTTGGTGATGTGTGCTGAGGAAAGACTCTGAAAGTGAAGGGAACATAACGTGACATTAGCAACTGACAAAGCAGGCTGCAAGGGAATAAATGTGCCCCGGTAGCCCAGGTAAGAAACACTAACCAGACCAAATATGGGAGCCTTACAGAAGAGTGAAAGGAAAATGCAAGAAAAACAAAACAAAACAAAAAATTACAAAAAAGCAAGACAACAGTCCCAGCAGGGGGTGTGCAGTGGAAGCTTGCATACCCCACCTTGTGTTGGCCATGTCCATCTGAGTGAGTTTACTTCTCCTCTCAATAAGAAAGATTTGTAGGCTGGCTCACAGACCAAAACCCAACCCTATGCTCCAAAAGCAGAGTGAGAAAGGCTACCCCAGCAGGAAGAAGTGTGCCTGCCAAAGGCAAAGAAAACAGGACAGGGTCTGCTGTCACAACACAGGAGAAGTACAGGCACCAAGGAAGACAGACCACAGTCTTAAGAGTTAACAGTCCTGTAAGCCATAGGGAAGATATAACAGTTACAACTATCTATGTGCCAAATAACATAGCAGCAACTTGTGTAAAGCACAGACAATCAGACATGCAAAGAAAGGCAGGGGAAGGCCTGGAGGTGAAGCCCAACCCAGTTCTCTGTCCAGGTGGATAAGGTCATGGTGGCCTACCTCTTAGGCACACTTCTGCCCTGATAACAGAGACTTTATCATGTTCTCAAGTACATATGGAAGTACATTTGCACATGCTGACCTTTTACTAGTCCATAAAGGTCACCTCAATAAATTCTAAAAAGTACAAACAGCACAAATAAATTCTCTGATCTCAAGGTACGAAATCTAAAGAGTGAGGAGAAAATGGGAAAACAAAAAGGCCCTTCCACCAGAAAATTAAAAAAAAAACCCTCTCTAGTCAATTACAGAAGTTCTAGAAAATGATGATACCAAATACTATGACAGAATCTATGGGTTATATGACTAAGGTGGGGCTCAGAGAAACATCTGTGGCTTAAATACTTGTATCAATACAAATTTAAAAATAAAAATAAAGGAATTAAACATAGAACTCAAAAAGTAGGAATCAAAACAAAGAAAAGATAAATAAATTAAAATTAAAGACTTAAGAGAATAGGAAAATAATATAGCAAATTAAAAAGCAAATCTGGAAAAAACCAAACTTCTAGATAGTCTTATCAAAAAAAAGGGAAGGTTGGGCGGTGTCTGTGGCTCAAAAAAATAAAAGGGGGGGGAGACACAAATAGGTAAAATAAGAAATTACTAGAGAAAAATAACTGTCAGAAGGAAGAAAAAAATATTTTCTACAACTATGTATAGATAAATTTAAAACATCTGATCAGGCACAATAATTTTTTAGAAAAATAAAATTTGCCTAAACTGAGTCCAAAGAATAGAAACTTTAAACCACCCAATTTTCCACAGAAAGGAGTAGCTGAGATGTAGATGGTTACACAGCCAAAATTTATCAACTTGTTCAAGACCAATTTCAAGGCTACTTAAATTGTTCTGCAGCATGGAAAAAGAAGACAAAAACATTATAAAGCAGGTATTACATCAATACCAAGCTTGTTGGAGACTGTACCAACAATTAGAAAAAAATCAATCCCAGTTGTGAATATCAACATAAAAATTTAAAATACAATGTTGGCCAACTGAATTCAATGGTATATTGAAAGGAAAATAACTGGCTTGGCACCTGTGGCTCAAGTGGCTAAGGTGCCAGCCATATACACCTAAGGTGGT